AGTAAAGTCGCTGCTCCTCTGGGGCTTCGCTTCCTTCTCTTCAACAACCGCCGCTCTCGCATTTCCCCCACTATTCCACGAAACTCGGAACGCTGAAGCTTCGTCGTCGATTGCCAAACGCGCAGATGAAAAGACACCGAAATACTTTGTCGAAGCCGGTCGAAATATTGAGCTTGGCCATTATGACAACCGTTATTTCGAATCCAAGGTTTCATATGAGGAACATCGTCTCGTTCTTCGAGATCTGATCCGCAGTTATTTGTTCCATATGAACAGTTACGGCGTGGAAACATGGATTGCTCATGGAACCCTTCTTGGTTGGTGGTGGAACGGCCAGATCATGCCCTGGGACTACGATCTTGACGTGCAAGTGTCTAACAATACTCTTCAATGGATCGGGGACAACCTCAACCGCACGGAACATAGTTGGAACTACACAGAAACTGCCTCGGGGGAGTTCATCTCTAAGAGATACCTCCTAGATATCAACCCCCACCACGTTGATATCGACCGCTCAGACGGAAGAAATATTATTGATGGCCGTTGGATTGACATGCAGAACGGCATGTACGTTGATATCACTGGCCTCCGTGAGCGCGAGGTAGATCGCCCAGGCGTCTGGAGCTGCAAAAACAAGCATCGGTACAAGAGCCAGGACTTGTGGCCTATGCGTATTACCGAGTTCGAGGGCGTCAAAGCTCGCGTTCCATTCAACTTCAATAAGATCTTGGTTGACGAGTATGATACGAAGAGTTTAGTCACCGAGAGTTGGGCCGGGTATGTTGCCACCATAGCCGTTTCACCGTCATACCGTTGACGGGGCGGCCCTCTCAAACCTTCACTTGCTAACATAGTTTACAGGCACCGTTGGGATCATGACAACAAGATTTGGATCAAGGAGACTGAAGAGGAAGCGAAGCAGCGAGAGCTCGCCGCCGTTGATCGCCATTTGGCTGAAGCAGCTGCAAATCCACAAATTGAGGAGTCGCAGGAAGGCGCAGCGGTATAAACGCTCATCACCTATACTCATCCTTTGAGTAACTCACTATTTCTGATTTACATTCGATCTCGCATAAGAGCTGCGAGTCAGCGAAATGAGTCACGACCTAAATTTCATAAATCATACCCTTTCTCCTTACAATGGGTCGGGTCATACAAAGGTAGCCAGGCCTTTGCTGCACATGAGGCGTTGGATGTATATTACGGCGTTGGAGAGCGGATTTCAGCCTAGCGCTCGTTATGGTTGCTTGCTATTGACGCGTGGACGACAGGCATGATGGCTGTTTTCATCACTGGGATCTTTGTTCGAGTTCATCAAATGCCTGTTAACCTAGAAAGATATCCCTAGTTGCTTGCATATTTGCTTCATAAAGTGGTTCAATGAAATGTTGCTTTGGATGCCCAGAGGTCTATACTCATGCTGAAATGTAAAACAAGATCTATGTAACTAACTGCGGTATCGAGAAACGCAAACAGCCCATCATGACTCCCCTATCCAGCTCTTCCATGAAATCGTCTTTTGCCGTTTTGATTCTTGCCAACCGCCAAACTTGGCACCGTTTCCAAGATCAATCAAGGGCGCCATACTGGGTCGACCGTGCGCGCACTGAAAGGGAAATGCACAACGCGACAGGCGATCGATGAGGTCCTCACATTGATTTACCGACAAAATATCGTTAAACATGATTGCACCTAGCACAAAGTCAGCAAAAGCGGGAGCAAGCAGCAAGCAAGAGACATACTTCGACAGGCCCTGGAGTGTAGCAATTCCAGAATACCCCTTGGACACCCGTTGAAACGTGATATCAACGGCTTGTCAGGGGTTGTGGTTGATGGTCGCACAAGTGGAACACTACTATCCACCTTTCGCCAAACTTCTGTTCTCAAAAGTTCGATGAGTAGTCGGGGTTCCAATCTGCACCGCTCGATGATGCTTGGAGGGAGACCTGTGACTATGATTTTGTTTTGTGAGGAGATTGGTGTTTGGTATGTGATACCCCAAGCGGCAAAGTAATCGCGATATTGTTCTAGAAGAGACCATTCTTCTTTTGAGACTTCGAAGATTATGGGTCGGCTGAGAGGTTCGATGAATGGTGAAGTTTGGTTTGTCAACGGGTCGTGGGTGAAGTAGCTCGCCATGAGGTCCTCAAGTTGACATCGCTCATCGACTGCATGTTGATCAAGCATGACCAAGGCAGAACTCTGCTTCTCGTGTGCCAAGGTCCCAGATACTGCACGCTCAAGGGGAAGTTTCACCAGTATGAATTTGCGATCGACCTGCTCTATCACGGTAGCGCGAGCAAGCGCGTGACGTGAGATTCGCCCGCTGAGACTCATTGACCCTGTTTCGAAACCAACATGAACGCTTCCATGTCCACATCCATGTAGCTGATCTTGCGCTGAGCTGTCGACACTCGGCACCGATGGTTCGACAGGGTGAAAAATGGGATTCTCCCATGAGCTGATGACACCCTGGAGCCATTTGCTAGGATGTTTGTCTCGCTTCTGTGCACCTTGACAGGTAACACTACTGCTTGTGTCACCCTCACCTGTTGTGTTGTCAAACGTACATGCGCCAGAGATCACACCACTGTTTGCAGACGAGCCTGCTTTCTCGTCTTCTGGTTCAGGGGATGGCTCATCAAACGGTTTGCGCAACAGTTTCCCGCCTTCTCCAACAAGACGACCCAGCGGTGACTCTTCTCGCATCTTTGTACTAACATCTGCCGCTTTTGAGGTGGCGCTGAGTGGCGTAGCTCTCCCAACTTTGACCCGGTGCCAACCCTCAAAGGGGCTGTCTGCTCGTGGCCCAAGTGAACCGGATCTGGAGATAGGAGTGACGGAACTGGCTCTCGAGCTATTTGATGACGAGGCTGGTTGCTTCTTAGGCTTTTTCGACCGGCCCAACGTTCTCGCTGTCGAGAATAAGGATTCCTCGGGGGCTAGTCGAACTTTTTGTGGACGAAAATGATGCTTTTTGAGAAATCCGTAGCATGTTGCCTTCAGAAGATCAATGATCGCAGATAGCGTCTGGCCTTGACTGTCAAGTCGATTTGGGCTATCGAGACCCTCCAACCCCGTAGTGCTGATTTTGAGATAGAACATGGGCCACCTCTCGATACCTTTCCTACTCTTCAAATCTCTTCCTGTAAACTCTTCCAGCTTCGGCGAGTTACCGTTATGGTCTTCATCACCGTCAATCACACCAAAGCTAGAGTTTCCAAAGGTCCTGTTGATTTCTTCATAAAGAACATCGGTGCCAAACTCATTACTAACTGGCTGAATCCCAAGGCTGATAAATTGAGAGCGCCGTGTCGCAACTGGATTCGTAGAGATAGCACCTTTGACGGAAATCGGCCCACATGATGCTGATATCGGTACCCAGGAATCTGCGTCGTCTGAATCGGCAAGGCAAGCTTGTGTGAGAAGTCGAGAGGTTCTGGACATGATGTCTGATTTGTCAGCTGGCCGGAAGCGTAATTCGCGCTGGATTCTTGCGTTCTTGAGTGAAACGGATACACCTAATGGCCAGCCAAGGAGCAGGCCAACGATAGCTCGAATCAGTTTCGACCATTCCTTGTCAAGGGCAGACTTTTCAGTAAACGTAACTCTCTGCTTGACTCTGACTGGCATATTGCCGAAGAGGTCTCGAACAGTCGTACGAGTGCCATGATCAAAGTTGACAAGCCGTGATTCAGGGGGTGAAGGCAAGTGTCTAGCCAGTATGCGAGAGTTGTGAAACGAGATAGAATTGTGTGAAATATGCCTTTGGTGGTGAGATGTGACGGTCAGAAGGGAAAAGGTAGCAAGTGATGCTAAGAAATCACCGTGCTTCCCATGGATAGAAGACCTTGAAGGGTACTTGGATGTATCTGAGAAGGCGTAAGTACAATAGCTTCACGTAAGTAATATCGTTTCACTCACGGTGGAGCTTCCCGAGGCCCCCGCCATCTTTAAATTCTTCGGGTGGAATTCCGGACCCGTTATCTTCAACGGTACAATTTCCCCTGCTGTAGTCGATCGAGATGTTGATCTTGGATGCACCAGCGTCTAAAGAGTTTGTGACAAGACCGCAAACAACGCCGTTCAGAGAAGTGATATTGACTGATGATTTAATCTTGTCGACGACATCCTGAGGAAGTTGTCTGATGACCATACTCTACAGCAGATCATGCTTGTTTGTGTAGAGTTGGTCTTTGGCTGTGGTGTTGAAAGTTTCAAAGTCCAAGTTGGGATATGACGTCGAAGCGAGCTGAAACTGAGGTGAGCTGCAATTCGCTAGGGGGCACCTGGTTTTAGGGCGATCTAATTAAGGCACAGTGGGTAACCGTCCCCGAATCCAGGGTCCGCGTGGTGGAGGTGGCGCCAAGAAAAGATGTGCCTTGAGCTTGTAGCCAGCTCAGTCCAGACTCGAAGCCACGGAAAATTTCAACGGGTACCTGCGGGAGAAGTAAGGGATAAAGAGGACTTGACACGTTGGGAGGCGCCTATTTTTGAGTCAATGATAGGCCATGGACAAATAGAAAAGATCGTCGTCTTCTGGTCTGTGTTGTCTCGTCATGCAACAGATTCATCACGTGATTCGTATCCCGACCTTCGTACGATGTCATGCTTCGCCGCTTTCAGCCTTTTGTACTGTTACATGCCATGCCACACACTTTGATCTGCTGACGACGTCTCTTCTAGTTTCATCCCTTAGTTTTCGCCTTTTCTTGTTGTCTTCCATCCACGATTGACGCATAATTTCCGTTTCTTTTCTCCTCCGAGCGAGCCTCTTTTCCCTTGACTTTGTTCATAGTCTCCCCGCCTCCGCCCGCTACCCAACGACGTTGTTCTGGTAGCTTCGACGTAACGTTTCGCTTCAATCCGACGACTTTTTCTCAATTTGATGGCGACGACCGACGTGGTTCCTCCAGAGCATGGTGAGTGTTAGAGCGTTGTTCGTGTTATGGAATTTACCATCACCCGATATCGCCACCTTGCGATAGCCTCACAACACAATGCCTCATGCTAACATATCAGACCGTCAAGGTCAACGCAGGAGACCGTTTTCGACATGGGTTAAGAAACTCACCAACTTCAAATCATCCGATGGTGAACGTCAAAAGAGACACAAGAAACGCAGCCACAAGAAGAACAATCCCTACCCGGAATCTGGACAGGTCGGCAACGGTGTAACCAACGGAACAAGTGCATGCACTTTCACCACTACACAGACGGGTACAAGCAATACCAGTGTGGATCGATCCACTCGGACATCCCGAGAAGATCAGGGACCGCCAACGATCGGACGTGGAAGTGTGGCCGGTACGGTGTTGACAGATCATGAGGCCTCCCATTCACTCATGGCACCCAGCCATAGGGCAAGCTCTGTCGCTGGAACGAGCCGTACCGTTGGTGGAGGAGTTGATTCTAGGAGGGGGGGAGACAGTACATTTTCAAGTCCAGCACCATCCGTGAGGTCTTTGACGACGACCTTGACTACGATACAGTCGATGGCGCCTAACGGGGCTGGGCAACCTCAGAATCATGCTTCACAACACCATGGCAACACGCAGTCTATTCAATTCACCCAACCCTTCCCCACTGCAGGAACGCCAGCGTCGGCTATCCCGCCCCATTTGGCGCCAACTGGCAACCCAACGACTTACACGTCTGCAACCGCCAACAATCTGCTAACAGATAACGCATCTATCCTGACTTTGGCGTCATCAAGTAAGCGACGACGAAGGCGTTCTCTCGATACGGATGCATCTGTGCGTGCTCTTGCACCTTCGTCACTTTGGGGTGGAAGTCGTGAAAGTTTACCACTTAGTGTTTTGAGTGCGAACATCGACCCGATGGGCATGCCTACTACCCCCGGTATTCACGGCAATCCTCGAATGGCAACAGAACGCACGAGCATTTACTCTGCAACAGGTGTTGGGCCTGCGATTTCTGGAGATAGAAACAGTTATTATGCCAAGCAAGGAGATGCTGCAAGTGTTCGAAGTGGGCTACTTGGCCATGGACGAGCTGAGAGCGTGAGTGGCAGCATTGGGGGTCTGAGCAGTCCTCTGATTACGCCACGAGAGGTATTCAACGAGAAAAGCGAGAATGAGAAAGAAGATACCCCTGTGGCTTCTAGAACGAAGGAGGCATGAGCGTGTTGATTTTTATTGCGAATGATTGATGCTTTGTTTTGCTTTATGGTACTGGGTCGGTTGGGTCTGGCAGGAATGAGAGCGTATCTGGTGTTTTGCTTGACTTATATAGAATTCTGGTTCGGTACTTACTATACGTAGTCGAGGGAAGTTGTCCCTTAATATACCATACATGATACCCTGAAAATTGTTATGATGATCCCCAAACGAGCGAGCTTTTGATTAGCTTTACGTGATAATTTGATGTTCTACAGTGATGGGTCGGGTGTTCTGGAGTTGCAGCCACTGTGGCGCTAGGCAAGCTCCTGTAGCTCCCCAGCTTCAGCGTCCCACCATCGTCATCGCGCCGCGGCCCATCTTCTCCAATTCAAGACATTCCCGAATGCTTCAAGATGGCCATCTCAGTAAGGACCACCCTGTTATCATGCGCGCATAGGAGTTCCCGGTTCATGCGCACTTCAAGACTTCTCATGCTGACAATGGATCGCAGTGGAAGTCGTTTGACTTCTTCGACGTTGTCCAAATAAACATCGCCGACGACGAGACCCGACAGCTCTTCGAGGGCAATGAGATCTCGAGCGTTTGCGCAGGCTCCGATAGCCTTTTCCTTGGATCTTTCGAGGGATATGTCAGCATAATAAACAAGTCATGGAAGATCGTCAAGCGCTTCCAGGCTTACGAGGCTGGGAGCATCACGCATATGCGCCAGGTCGAAGGAACAAGTCTTTTGTTGACAGTTGCGGTACGGCCTGTTGAACTTCAGATAACGAATTGATGGGCTGACGGTGATTATAGGAGGACATGAGCAGTGAGCCTGTTCTGAAGGTGTGGGCGCTCGACAAGCTTGTTAAGAAGACCAACACACCGACATGTCTGAGCACGGTCATGATCAACAATAACCGACGGCAATTTCCCGTGAGTTTTGTTGGGAGTTTGATACATCATTGGGAACTGACGGGTTGAAGATATCTGCGTTTACGGCTACGGACGATCTTACACAAATTGCTGTGGGATTCACTAACGGCGCTGTTACCGTAATTCGAGGTGAATTGGTCCACGATCTCGGCACCAAGCAACGAATCGTTTTCGAATCAGAAGAGCCGATTACCGGTGTTGAACTCGCTTGGGATGCGGCACAAAAGCTCACCACTCTGTTTGTTTCCACGACCTCACGAATATTGAAGCTCGGTCTATCCAAAAAGGGCCATGGATTACCGCCCAAGACGATCGAAGATGCCGGATGTGCAGTGGGCTGCATGACGCGTGATCCAAATACAGACGGCGTCATTGTTGCGCGTGACGATGCTATCTACACATACACATTGGACGGTCGAGGGCCACCCAAGGCGTATGAATCGCCAAAGAGCAAGATTGATGTTTACAATGAATATGTTGCGCTTGCGTGTCCACCCGCGAGCAGCACTGCGAAAGATTCTGAGGCAATGAGGCGACGCTTTGGTAATACTACTACTAATTCTCTATTCAATGCGTCATCTTTTGTGTTGTTGGATATGGATCTTCGGGTAATCGGTCATACAGAGACTTTGATGTCACCTGTAGGACACTTTGTTGACATCTGGGGTGATTTCTTCACAGTTCTCCAGGATGGCAAGGTAAGTTGAGTCTGCCGATTTCGGTGGTCTCTCATTAACTTTATCAGGTCTACCGGTATCATGAGAAAAGCCTGCAACAACGACTGGAGATGCTGTATCAGAGGAACATGTTTCCTTTGGCTATCGAGCTGGCGCAAAAGTCTGGAATGGATAATGAGCAGCAAAGCCTTATTTACCGTCGATTCGGCGATCACTTATATCAAAAAGCTGACTATGATGGCGCCATGATTCAGTATATTCGAGCCATTGATACGACTGAGCCATCACAAGTCATTCGCAAGGTAAGGAGACCGCCCGTATGTACCAGCAAGTCTAATGTTCCTAGTACCTTGATACGCAACGCATTCACAACCTAATTCAATACCTGGAACAACTCCACGAACATCGAAAAGCGACTGCAGACCACACAACCCTGCTCCTCAACTGTTATGCAAAGCTGAAAGACATCAACAAGCTTGAAAAGTTCATCAAGTCTCCTGGTGACCTCAAGTTTGATCTTGATACAGCAATTGCAATGTGTCGACAAGGCGGGTACTACGAGCAGGCTGCATATCTTGCCAAGAAGCACGGCGAGACTGATCTTGTGGTGGATATTTTGATAGAGGACTCCAAGAACTATGTCGAAGCGCTCGACTATGTTTGGCGTCAAGATCCTGATATCGTACGTGGCAGCTCCCACTGAAGTGAAAAATGGCTAACATGACCAGGCATACCCTTGTCTACAGAAATACGCCCGAGTGCTCATAGAAAATTGTCCTCAAGATGCTACCAAGTTATTCGTGGACTACTATACAGGAAATTACCGACCTCGGCGCACTTTGACGGTGCCAAACGAGATTGATACGCCCGCTAGTGGCGGCTTTGCAGCTGGGGCGGCCAGCGCTGTTCAGAATTTGTCCAACCTGCTGCCCTTACCTTATATGAATACATCTTCGGTCGCATCTCCTGGCACAGTCGGAAACACGAGGGCTGTAGTTAGCGATGGGAACATTATCGTGGATAACGACGATATACCTGCACCAAAGTATACTCCACCACCACCAAGAACCGCATTCTCCTCGTTCATCGACCACCCGGATGAGTTTATTGTCTTCCTCGAAGCGTGTCTCGAAGAAAAGGAGCTCAAGTCGAGTGACCGAACAGATCTTTACACTACCCTTTTTGAGATGTACTTGTACAAGGCAAGCGAAAAGAAGGGACAGGATCATAAGGAGGAATGGGAGGCCAAAGCGAAGAAGCTCATTCAGGGTGAGCACGTGCCGATGGAAAGCTCGAATGTTCTACTTCTCTCGCATCTTGCGGATTTCCAAGATGGAACTATCCTTGTCAAAGAACAGGCAGGACTACGTTTCGACATTTTCAGATCTTACACATCGGCTAAGGACACACGAGGCGCCATGAAGGCCCTCAGAAAGTACGGTCCCGAGGAGCCACAGTTGTATCCAGCTGCGTTGGCATATCTCACTTCTGACCAAAGGGTACTGGAGGAAGCCGGGCCTGATGAGTTGGCCAACGTGCTAAACAAGATCGACAAAGATGGACTCATGGCTCCTTTGCAGGTCATCCAAACACTTGTTGGCCAATCTTCAGGAGGTGGCGTAGCAACCATGGGCATGATCAAACCATACCTTCACGAGACAATCACAAGAGAGCGCAAAGAAATTGCTACGAACCGCAACCGTATCAACAATCTTCGCGGCGATACAGAAAAGCGTCGCGTAGAGCTTGCAGATCTAGGCTCCAAACCCGCCGTTTTCCAAGCAACTTGGTGCTCAGACTGCAGCCAGCGCCTTGACCTACCAGCCGTGCACTTCCTCTGCAAACACAGCTTCCACCAACGCTGCGTTCGAAACGGCGGCAACGACAACGATGCGGAGTGTCCCAAGTGTGCACCGGAGAACGACATGATCCGCAAGATGCGCGAAGGACAGAAGGAGCGGGCTGGCAAGCATGACCTTTTCAAGATGGATCTGGAGAACAGCGAGGATCGGTTTAGTACGCTGGCGGAGTGGTTCTCTGGGGGTGTTATGGATGGGCAGAGTGCGGAGTGAATGTTATGAAATGAGGTGATGGCGAGATGCATGGTGTCTAAAGGAGTTTTGGGTTCTTATTTGGTCTTTGCCTTGTTTCTGTGGGGCTTTGATACATTATACAATCAACATTTAGGCAGAATGGTCTTATTTGGTTTAATATTGTTAGATGCTCGTGAGTTTGTTGATGAGTTGGTGATCAAGAGCTCAAGATGCCTCGCTGCCTTATCTAAAGCTTAGGTACACTTAGGCAACCTTAGGTAAACTTATGTGAGTTTAGGTAAGCTTATGATAAGTTTAGAGGTATTTTGATATACTACTTGATAGAATTGTCGTGATTCCGCCCTCGGGGTTTACCCCTTTTCCAATCCATCTCTGTAAAAACACAAATCTTTCCAGCGCTATGACAGTTCCCGACAATCTGTGGCATAGTTGTTCCATCGTTCTGAGTGTGTGCGTTGTTTTTTGTCCTCAAACTGAGCGATTTGCTTATCCTGTGTCAAAGGGGTCGTTGCTTGAATCGTGTGGCGTTTGAACTGAGCTGACTTTGCTTAACAACTCAACATTCCTTGCTAGAATCTGACAATCCTTTACTGAACTACGTTTTGTTGTCTAGATAAACTAAAAGTTTGTGCCAAAGGGGATCGCTTGTTGGTTTCTTTTACTTAGCAAACAGTGGCCAAACTGAAGCCTGGCCGTCAATGGTAAGCAAACTAGACTGCCATTACCAAAGAAATCGTCCAGGTGAATTCTCTCTGAGCTTGGGATTCCGGGTATAAATACCACGGGTCTGTCTTCTTCTTCTTCTTTCTCCATCATCTCATCAATCCAATTATAGTACTATACAAGTATACTCAACTGCAAAAGCTCTTCATCCCCAACCAGAAGTTCAATATCAATGGCATCTTTCCTTTGCTATCACCTCGGCGATGTTCCTACCTTGGCCCTCAGGACCGTTCGCTTGTGGTGCACTCACAACACCAAGAAGGGTAATGAGAAGATCAATGATTTAGGCCTCGCCAGTTGTCACAACCTTTTTTCATCCACCACACATCCCGCAAAGCTTCTGACTGCAAGAAAGTCTGGCAGCGAGCGAGCTGAGTACTGCCAGCGATTTACAGTTCTAATGCCGGCCGTGAACAACGAGGCCTTCTAGGTGTTAGTCGGTGTCATTATTCAAACCGCTTTCTACATCTGTATTCTACTTGGCTATGCCATGGTATATAACCGACAATTTCAGTATATATGTTAGTTCTGCCTCCTTTCATTCGTTGAGTTATGGCACTGACTCTCATCTAGATATCTCACTGCTAAACCAGCTGGACAATCTCGAACAGCTGGTCGTGCAGGAGAAGGG